CAACTCCCATTTATGATGTTGCAGCATCCTGTGGTCAGGTGATCACAATTTTTGACTCCCCTGTTACCCACAAGCAAAATCAATGGGCTAAGCCAGATCTGTTTAATACAGGGGTGCAGTGGGCTGCTACGGGCTTGGACTAATCCCAGAAAGCTGGTTGACATTTCAAATTCTCTGTCCGATGTTCAAAATCTCATCCTTTATATATGAAATTTGCAGTGAGTCACAAATAATAATAATAATAATAATAATAATAATAATAATAATAATAATAATAATAATAATAATAATAAAGTCAGAACTACAAGAGAGCATTTCACTAAGATTGCCATTGGCAGCACCAACATTGTTGCCAAGGATTCTTGCATTCCTCCAGAATTATTATTTTTTTCTCCATTCTGTATTATTGGGTCTTTCCCTTTAATGATAATCTTTAATTCTTTTGGGTTCCCCTTAGCAACTAAGGTTCTCCTTTTTTTTCTGATCCAGGCAATTTCAAGGAAGAGATTTTTTACACTTCATTTTTACACTTCACAGTCAAACCTTCACCTCATTCATCAGACCAGTCAATCTGATTGTTTAGTAGTCCATTTAAAAACTTTCCATAATCAGCATTCCAATAATTCCTTCACTGCAAATTTTAAAAAGGGTCTAAGTTTAAAACTTACATAAATCTTCTTTTGCTGCAGGTTGGAGGAAAAACACCTAGTGTAATAAAACCTGTCCTTCTGGAAGTTCTTAATGTTCCAAAAGTTATTAACAACCCATTTCCAATATAAGCAATTAAGCGGGGAGGTAAACTCAGTATCATTATGAAAGGCTCTGGCCATAGCTTGGGTAAAGCTCGCTTTCCTAACTCCCAGAGCTATAAAACACACTGGACACTGCTACTTTACCTTCTCATCAAGGGAATATTTTAAGGAGTCCTCTGGACAATCTCAAGTTCGTCTCCGAGAGGAGTTCAGGGAGCTGGTTGCTTCACTGACTCTACTTTCTACTTGTAATTGTCAGTTCCTCTAAAAGCAAAGCAAGTGTAAGTCCACCATTCTCTCCAGAGGCCTCCCAACTACAATGGTTGTCTAGAGCAGGGGTCCCCAACCACCGGACCCCGGACCGGTCCCGGTCCGTGGAACATTTTCTACCAGGCCGCCAGTTTGCTGGGCACCGCCATCTTGTTTCGATGAGAAAGTGCTTCCGGGTGAGCTTTTCCAGTTGGAAAGTGGCGTTTGGGTCTTGAAGGAATCCTCGCGCCTTAGTTTCATCGAAGGGGTAGGGGCAGCTTCAAATGAAACTAAGGCGCGAGGATTCTTTCAGCACCCAAGGCAAGGCGAGCTGAGCGACTGTCCCGAAGCTCATCGACAAAGGTACAAAGGAGGAGTTGGTGGCGGGGAGAAGCGGGGGACGGCTGGCTGGCCGGTCGCTCGGCTTGACTTGCCTTGTCATGCGTGCTGATGCCGGTACCAGGCCGCGGATCATTTTGTGATGCCGGTACCGGGCCATGGCACAAAAAAGGTTGGGGGCCACTGGTCTAGAGCAGACAGATTAAAAACATCTGGGAAGAAGGCAGAAGCAAACCACCTGTATACTGTTGTTTAAAAAAAAAAAACTATCTTTGTGATCAAAAGCTGAGTTGAACTTGAAGAAAAAGTGTATTCTGACAAAAGCAGGAAGTGTTAAATATTGTATCAATCCATCACACTAGAAATTGCAACTTTATTTTATCAAGGCTAAAATACAAATAGCTTTATTTTTCAACTATCTGGATTAGCCTGCATTTTCTCTTCAGAACATTTCCTCTCTGCATAATTAGCAAAATCATAATTTAGGACAAGTGTGACTCATTGCAGATGCTAATATTTTAGGACATCAGTGGTGGCTGGGTGTACTAGTTCTTCCAATAGTTATGAGAAATCTACCCCCCCCTTTTTTTTAACAAAGGGCTATTATTGGCAAAGAATTGTGTACCTATTGCCAGAAGCCATTGGGCACAGAAACCAAAATGATTCTCGAAGCTCTAAATATTTGCTGTCATGCAACTTGCTTCAAGGTAAGAATGCTGTTTCACTGTGTGTACGAATTTATATAGATGTGGATATATAGATGGGCACCCATTCTGGTATGGTGGTTAAGATGCTGGCTTAGAATCTTAGTTAATGCTAGTCATGACAATGTGGTGTCCTCCTGTTTGGTTCTTGCATTGCCATGTGACATTATTCAAGGCTGCAAGAGCCATGCATTGTTATAAAGTTCTAGAACATGGTAATAAAATCCTGATCGCATTAAATATTTCAGATTGTGGAAGATATGAGGGTTTTTTTTGAATGATTGTTGGAAGCATAGCAAACCAGCCAGTTTGGTTTAGAAGTTAAGGCACCAGGCTAGAAAGCAGAAGACTTAGTTCTAATCCCAGCATAGGCATGAGCATCAGGTGGGCCAGTCACTCTCTTAGCCCAACCCACCTCACAGGGTTGTTGTTGTTGGGGAAAATAGGAACAGGAAAGACTAATATATACATTTGCTAGCATGAGTTACTTACAAAGTAGTAAGATGGGATAAAAATATAATAAACATAGCTGTTTTTGTGTTTGAACATATTCATTGTAGCTCGCTATAAACTTGCTAAATCATATTTGGGAAGCTCCTATGAAAGAGAAAAGACAGGTTTAAACTGAATGCAATTAGGCAAATCTGAAATCATGGTTCTGATCATGGAACCAAACAGAAATTCCGTAACAAGTACTTTTTTTGAAGGCCGTTCTGGTGTACCCAGTTAAAATAATCAAGGGAATAAGAATAATCTTCATTGGAGATTTTGGACCAGCACTGCTAGCTACGTTCACACCGACCTGGATGAATGTTAAGCTTCAGTGTAAAACCTCTCCTTAATTTATCATTTATCCTTAGAATGCTGGATAATTGTAAAGCTACAAAGCCAAAATGTGGAAAGATTATAGTTAGTTCGGTTGATGCTAGCCCAATAATAAAGCATATTCCTACAGAAAATGAGTATTGATGCTGAATTTCTTTGAAATATTTTAAATCATAGTAAAAGTATAATGAAATAAAGGTGTAAGGCAAGCTACAATTGTATTAAAAATGGTTGGCAGATATGTTGTTCTTTGTCTGGTTTTTGCCACTAAAGATTTTTAATTCCATGTTTTTTAGTGTGAAATCTGCAAAGCAACTTTAGAAAACCTGGAGGCAGGAGATAGTATCTGGATTTACAAGAACGTAGTGCACTGTTCACCATGTTATTCTCATGTTAAAGGTAAGTTATATTTGAAGTAACTTCCAATATGAAGTATTCGGGAAATACTTGTTCTTCCTGAATTTTTGTAGAAATATACCCAATTTGTGGCTTCCGTAAACATATTGTACATGTGTCCTGGAATGTTCTGGACTGAATGGCTGGTTGATTATGTGTCATCAATTCACTGTCAGCTCTTTTCAACCACATTGATATCCCAAAGGTGTTTTTTTCAAGAGGCAACTGGACTTTCTGGTTTTTCTTTGAAAATGTTTTGCTTCTCATCCAAGAAACTTCTTCAGCTCAGAGCTGAAGTTTCTTGGATGAGAAGCAAAACATCTTCAAAGAAAACTCAAAGTCCAGTTTCCTCTTGAAAAAAAGCACTTTTGGGACAACCATGACCTGGAGGACTGAGAATCTCCATAGACAACCACATTGATAGGGATTTTCCATAATCTAGCCTTTACCTATTTAAGAGGTGGCCACAGAGAGCAGGGGGTCAAGCTATTTTCCAAAGCACCTAAAGGCCAGACAAGGAATAATGGATAGAAACTGAACAAGTTCACCCTGGAAATAAGGATACATTTTCTGACAGTGAGAACAATCAATCAAGGAAACGGCTTGCCTTCAGAAGTTGTGGGAGCTTCATCACTGGAAGCTTTCAAGAAGAGGCTGGACTGCCATCTGTCAGAAATGATGTAAGGTCACCTGCTTGGGCAGGGGTTGGACTAGATGACCTACAAGGTCCCTTCCAACTTGTTAATCTGTTAACCTAGCCTTTCAGGTCTTCTATAATGGTGCACCCATTGTCCTTGTAAATGAGCCCATTCACCTTGCAGCTGACATTTTCCAAGGCCTCCTTCATGACTTTTCTTGTACATGCTAGTCTGTGTTATAGTTCTTGATTGTTTATTATTGATAATTCATTCTAAAAGGTAGAAACTATCCACCATCTTGATCTTTTCATTGTCTTTTTTTAAGGCTGGTTGGTTTACCTGCCGTTAGTTTAATTCAATTTAATTAGTATGGTCTATTTAATTTTAGTCACATTTTTTCACTGTGCTTTTATTAGGAGAGCTTGAATTTCCTCTATCAGAGCAGTGGTTTCAGCATATTGCAGGTTATTGATATTCCTACAATTTTAAATTAATGCTCATCTTCTAATCCAGCCTCTCTTAATACATATTCAACCTGTAGTTGAGCAAATAAGGGAGAATATACAACTTTGTCACCCTCCTTTGCCAACCTGGAGCCCATCTGATTCACCATGTTGTGTCCATAATGAGATGTGCTGCTGAGAGTTCCCATTTTTCAGAGCACATTCCACAGTTTGATGAAAAAGTAGCTTTTTTATAATCATGAAGCAATAGTCACTTCTTTCTGGTATCTTTTGGCTTTCTCAACGCTTATCCAGAGTGCATCAGCAATAGTGTTTCATGTCCCTTGGCCAGTTTGAACATGGGGTATCTCTTTTTCCATGTATATCCCTACCCTGTATTGGATACTCCCAAAACATTATTTTGTTAGCGTATGAAATTAAGAATACTGTGTGATAGGTTGCACACTCTGTTCTCCTTTTTGGGAATTGGAATGTAGTCTGACCTCTTTCATTCTGTTGACAAATCTGTTTTCAAGATTTCCTGGCATAGTTTGGTGAGAACATTTATTTACAATTTCTTCCCATTGGTCATTTTTCCTATAGTCTTCTGACTAGGTAACAACGAAAACATTGATCTAACTTCACCTTCTAGTACTAGAGGTCTCGTAAGTTAGGAATATCTTCTGAGGTTATCTTGGATGCTGATCTCCATTGAACAGTACAATATTGCAGTACATTCCTTCCATTTTCTTCCTTTGAATCTGTCCATTGATGCCATTGTAGTATAATACTGATGCTTCTTCCTTCTAACAATTCTCTGAAATTCTTTGATAAGTTCCTTTCTCTTATCTTTGTCCTCATACCCATTTTTGATAGTCTCCCTTTATATCCATCCTTTACTGACTTAAATAAGTTCATTTAATGTTTAATTTTTTTCTTTAATTCTCTGACAGTGAGGTTAAGGAGTTCAAAGTACAGCTCCTGCAGGAAAGGTGATATATGTGCACACCAAGGTCTGCACAAAACCAGGCGGGGTGCTGCATTTTGCACCAACTGGAGCTTCCGGATGCTCTTCAAGGGCAGCCCCATGTAGAGTGCATTGCAATAGTCCAGACAGGAAGTGACTAGGGCGTGAGTGACAGTGGAATAAAGGATGCATCTCATCTGTCAGGGATTCTCTCCTCCCAGATTGAAATAAAATTAAAAAATGTAAAAGCACAATGTGAATGAAGTAGGATTTTAGTTTACAGTTCATATAAATTAATTTAAATATATATATATTACACATCCAGATTAAAAGAAAAAGCATTTTCCCCTCTCTTTGCATGCATGTATAAATAAAAAGTTTGGATTGTATCTCCACATTTGTCAGAGCGCCAGAAAATACTAAGAGTTCTTTGAAATCATTATAGATTCTGGAGGGTGGAAGAGCAAAGAATTAGCATAAAGAACCTATGTGGGACAATGGCTCTTTACCTCTAAGCCTGTGGTTTTCAGGATAAGGAGAAGGGAATACAGGGAGAAGGAAATGCACACACACACACACACACACACAAACACACATCATACCATCTCCAACCAGCCAGATTAATCATGGTGAGCTGACAAATCTTGGAGTCCTATGCTAATTTTAAAGTTTATCAGCACTTACTGAAGTACTTTTGAGGTAACAGGAATGTATCAAATATGTTTAGAATTTTTAATTTTGGTTTTATCAACATGTGTTTAGGCTCAGGAGGCATTCATTTTCACATTAGTGTCTCTAATTGTTTTTATTTCTATCCTTTACAGCCACGTGGACTTACTAATCGTTAATGAATTCTGATCAAACGTGTGCTCAGATATTCCAGCTATCTTTATTTGTATCTGGAAGTTGTATTTTTTTAAGAATAAGATATTTCAAAAATCCACATTCGGCACTTGAGCATAAAATAAGACCATTTCTAAATGAAAGATAACGTATGTACTTAGAATCTTTCTAGAGGTTTTCATTGTTGGTGAGAAAAAATGTTTACAACTGTCGCATTATATTGAATAAAGGACGCAAAGAGTTGTACTGTAAATACAGCATAGGAAGGTAGCTATCTTTGCTTAACATATTCTGTTTTTTGTTCATACATTGGTAATTCACATATGGGTGTTCATCATATAGATAGAAATGTCTTCTTTAGCTGCAGCAGTTCTTAAGAGAGAGAAATTTTGCAACTTTGGTTGGGACTGTTGAGTTTGAGAGGAACCAAATCACCATGAAAGCTGCCAGAAAACAAGCAAGATGAAATCAAGTGGAGTCCATGTGTTTATGAACCATTGTTTTCCTATTATTAATGAACCCTAAATGTTGAGTCTGCTTCACTTCACTTCCATTCATACTGTAACTCTGGGGAAGAGAACACTGGGGGTTAATCTATTCTCCAAAGCACCTGAAAGCAGGACAAGAAGCAATGGATGGAAACTAATCAAGGAGAGAATCAACCTAGAACTAAGGAGACATTTCCTGACAGAACAATTAATCAGTGGGACAAGTTGCCTACAGAGGTTGTGGGTACTCCAACCAACACTAGAGATTTTTAAGAACAGATTGGTCAGCCATTTTGTCTGAAATGGTATAAGGTTTCCTGCTTGAACGGGGGGGGGGGGGGAGTTGGACTAGAAGATCTCAAAGGTCCCTTCCAACTCTGTTATTCTGTTACTGCTTGCAAGAAAATCCATCTTCAGTCTGCTCATTTTTACACATTTTATTCAATTTCCTTTATAGAAATTGTCCCTGTCTAAAATTAAGTCAATGTAGCAATGTCACCTACAAAGAAATATCAAAAGGCCAAAATTGTAAGTGCAACTGTGGATCCAGGTTCTGCCTTTTTATATATTTGCTATTGGTTCATGTACAAAGGTGTAGGGTTTTGGTCTAAACCACCTATTTTTTAGTCGCTTTAGTCACACTATTGAAGATGGTGCTGTGAATATGGTCTTCTACTCTCATTTTAGTTATATTATGCTAATTTGTAAAGGGCAAGTCAGGTTGTTGGCATCCTGATGCAATCATTTAAAGACACAGATATGGGAAAAGAAGTGCATCCTCATATGATCTGCAGCCAAACATCAACTCTTATGATTTAAAAGTACTTGCCCTGTGGTATCAATAATAAATATTCAAATAATCCAAAATAAATCTGAACTATTAATTGATATAATTTAAGGCATTTATTGTAGCACATATTACAGAATCATATTATACACTGTGCATATTTTAATATAAATATGGATACATGTTTTTCTTTTCTCTTTTGAACCAGCGTGAGCAGTAGTGTAAAGAATTTACCTTGATATGGAGAAATATTTTCAAAAATTAAAGTGAAAGAAAAAAATAAAATAGTGGTTGCATTCATGTGTTATGATAATCTGAATGTTTTTATAACATGAACAAGCCTTAAACTTGCATGATTCCTGCCAACCTTCTCTTTCAGCACAGACACAAGTAATAGTTTTAAACCTTGCTGCTCTATTTTTATCAGCTCAATTTGTAGTTTAAGGTAAAGCTGGTAAATATTTATTCGAAGTTGCACTAAATCATAGATAAAATATAAGGAATCCTGACGCTACACAAAATAAAATTAATCATAGTTTCAAGACTATATTCAATAACCTAATTTGAAAAAGAAGCACATAACAGCACAGGGGTCCTCAACCCCAGGGCCGCAGCCTATTACCGGGCCTTGAGCTGTTTGGAACTGGGCTGCAGAAATGGTGGGGGAGCACATGCGCATGCCCACTTATGCGAGCAGTGGGCAACGTGCACTTATGCATCATTTGTGTGGAACCATCCCCTTTCCCCCTTTCTCCACAAAGCTGGAAAAGTTGGGGAACTCTATAGGACAGGAGTCTCCAACCTCTGGGCCGCGGCCCGTTACTGACCTTGAGCTGTTCGGAACGGGGCCGCAGAAGTGGCGAGTGAGTGACCATTCAAAGTTACATCCCCACTTGCGCGAAATTATCCCCTCCACCCCCCACCCCCCACCCCACTGGTTCTCAAAGCTGGAAACATTGATTAATTCTGTCTTAAAGGATAAAAAAGTTAAAAATTCCTCCCAAAAGAAGCTCAATACGTGATGGGAATGCATCCATGTTGTTTTCTTTGGCAACAGTATATTTTTTGACTTTCCAGTTGTGGGAATTCCTTGTAGTTTTACATTGGAGGAGGGTTTCTAGGAATTTAATTTGTACCTCAACCTTATGTATGGTCTTGCAGATCTAGTGAAATGATTTATCTGACTGCACTGTAGAGTCAACTAAAGTAAAGCCCTTGAGATCCACCACCATATCTGAAGTGACGAACTGCAAAGAGATGAAACTGAATGGCAAGAAACAAAGTCAGCTGTAAAGAGTGTATCCAACAACTGAGAATTGCCAGCATTTTAGTGCTGGGGACCAAAGGTTTTCTGAGAATGGTTAGGTAAAATTAACAATTTAGGGCAGATTTTAAGACTCTTTGTTAAGTAAAGGCTTTATTATGTAGGCAAGTGATCTCATTTAATCTACCTGTGTTTTAATATGCATTACATTAATGCAAACGCTAAACCCTAGTCCTCTACAAACCATTGCCTTCCAGTACTTTGTCAATAAATCATTTTTTTGTTTCAAAGTGTGTCTTGGTCTCCAATTAAAATGCACCTTAACAGGATTTTCCCCCCTTTCACATTCATTTAATAACCAAAGCTCCTCTTCTTCAGCGTTTTTAGGATTAACACATGTACATTCACACAGGATTCTGACTTGGTGGGATATTTCATAGTTTTTTCAGGGCTGATGTTTCATTGTCACATCATATTTGAAAAAAAGAGATGTAATCATATTCTTAGTTAGGAGAACCAGGAAAACCAATTGTTTCCAGGATCCTCACCTTGTGTCAGGAGATAATCCAAGACATATTTTTCAATCGTTAGGAGACCTTTTATAACGACTGATTTACAATTTAATTATTAAACTTCCATTTTCAGACAAACATCAAATTTGAAAGACTCACATAATTATGGGATTCATGTTTTCCCGGGCCAGGAGAGTCAGGAAAACACTCAAATTTGAAAAAGAATCACAAAACTATATTTTCACTGGCCAGGAGTGCCAGGAACACCAGCCATTTTAAAGATCCGTTCTACCTCTGAGGAGGCAGTACAAACCTAACTTGCAATTGCTAGGCAGCCTATTGTAGAGAATACCAAATTCCATTTAGTGAATAACCTGCCCATTTCAGATAAACATCAAATTTGAAAAAGAAGCACATAATAATGTTGTCTCTAGCAAGGAGAATCAGGAAAACCACTTTGTTTTGGGATCTGAAGAGATAGTGCAATGCATAATCTACAATTCTTAGGAAACCCATTATAGCAAATGCTGAATTCTCATTTAGCCACTAAACTTCCCCTTTCAGACAAACATCAACTTTGAAAAAGAGGCGTAATCATATTCTCTGTTGTCAGGAGGAGCAGAAAAACCAAATGTTTCCTAGATCAGTGCTCTTAGTTGACACAGAATATAGTCCAAGGCATAATTTTCAGTTAGGGAGCCCTTTGAAACAATATCCATTGTTGGATATCCATTTATTTATTATGAATATAATATCCATTTGAATATCCATTTATTTATTATGAATATCCATTTATTTATTATGCTTCCATTTTCAGACAAACATCAAATTTGAAAAAGTCACCAAGTCGCCTATTCCCTGGGCTGGAGAATCAGGAAAACCAATTATTTTCAAGATCCGCTCTACCTCTGAAGAGATAGTGCAAGGCCTACCTTCAAATTACTAGGATGTCAACTCATAAAATATTTCTATAGTCTTTTTAGAGTTGCCAACAGAAAGGGAGTGAGGAGCAGTGTGGCAGCTTGGAAACCAAAAGTGCATTCCATAATTAGTTTTCAAAGATAGTAACTAGGTGATTGAAGTTTCTGCCGTGCAAAATTCTAACTGGAGAACGTGACTGTTGGCTATGGATGTGTCCCATTAGAGAATATGAATTAGATACACCTAGGGGGTAGGGGAAAACCAGGGTCAAGGGTGACAATGAATTATATGTCTCAGAGTCGGCTAGCTATCAGGATTCCAGGCAGTTACCCCAATTAAATCTCAAGCCAAACTTTCAAAACTTCAAAAGGATTTATTGGGAGTTAAAATATCTGGCACTGCCTGGGTGTAGCCAACTCTGAAACACATCATTCATTGTCACCCTTGACCTGTGGGCCAGATCTAAGCCTCCTGTGGGCTGGATATGGCCCATGGGCCTTGAGTTTGACACCCTTGGTCTAATTCATAATTTTAAACTGTTAAGGGGCGTTGAACCATTCGGAATCAGGTTACAGAAGAGATGGGCTCCATCCCCTCTCCTTCCCCACCATCCCTGGTTCGCAAAGCCAGGAACATTGGGGAACTGTGATCTAAGGCATAACTTAACAATTGCAAGGAGACCCTTTATAATGAACACCAAATTCCCATTTAGCCATTGAGTTTCAGTTTTGAGACAGATAGCTTGATAAAGCAAAATGCATCTGCTGGGTATAGGCAACTTCTTGATGCCATCTAAATCAAATATTGCTATTCACTATTCTCCTACTCAGTGATTAAAAGCACAGATTTTGGCCCACAGAAGCAACATTTTTGTGGAACAATAGCTATTTTCTATTTATTTTAGGCATAAAGTATTAGGAAAACACACTTTGTATCCAGGAACAAAAACTGAATTGAAATTTGTTACATAGCGTAGACCAAGACATAACTCATAATTGCTAGGAGGCCCATAATATTGAATGCTGAATTCCAATTCAAACTACAATTGAACTGTAGTTAGTATCTATCTATCTATCTATCTATCTATCTATCTATCTATCTATCTATCTATCTATCTATCTATCCCAAGTACCACTCACTCATCATAAAAATCTCCAGAACCGTAAAGCCTACAAACCTGAAATCCAGCACATATGTTCCTCTTGGCTTCTAAGTACTTGGTAAGAAAGGATTTTTTGAAATGACCATCAGATCGTTACTATTTCTTAATACAGTAATTAACACGCTCTGATGCTAAGGAGTTAGACATTCTACTCCCCCTCCCCATCTGAAAAGAGCTCTGTTCCAACTGCCAGTTGCCTCACAAGGTTGTGGAACAGCAGTAGGTAGCATTCTTCGCCATCGTGCTCCATTATCCTGTAGCTGTAAAAGTCAGCAGCAGACATGGATCTTCTTGAGAGGACCCTGGTCTTTGCATTGCATTGACGTATATTAATATAATAACCATCTTCTCCATGGCAGAACATCAGAGGGTACTGGAGAGCTCAGGGGCGCTCCTGGGGCTTCTTACAGTAATAAACATTGGTACCTCACCAAAATGTCTCTGCGTTCCACCTATGGAACTGCTTCTCGACTCAAGGCAGCGGGAGCGATATTCCCTTATGTGTTTCAATCACTGACCACCACTGAGCCAACAGATTGTGAACCGGATTTCTCCTGCATAGCTCAATCAAATAGTGTCATCGTAAACCACGGGTATCCAGCTAGTAGTTAATATATTTAGTAAGGATTTACAGGAAGTCCTTGACTTACAACAGTTGATTTAGTATCATTTCAAAGTTACAGCATTGAAAAAGGTGATTTATGATGGTTTTTCACACTTACAACTGTTTCAGCATCATGGGTCATATGATCAATATTCAGATACTTGGCAACTGAGTCATATTTATGTAGTTTCAGTGTCCCAGGGACCTTTTGCAATCTTCTGATGGTGTCAATGGGGAAGCCAGATTCACTTAACCACCATATTATTCATGTAAGCACATTTACTCTCCTTCTTCTTTTGATCACAGTATTAGTTTTCATTTTGGAAGTAAGCTAGTTTTGTCATAAGACATAAATACGCCAACTTCCTTGTTTTCAAAATTGCATTTTTTTTTCTTTTCTGACCACAAGGTGGCTCTACAGCATTAAAAAAATACTATCTTCTTTGAAGGATTCAATGTTGCATAACAAAGTTAACCTAAATTTTAGAATATTTAATACATAAACATTTCTTTATCAAATATAATTAGAGCTTTCTCATACAAGATTGTAATTATTTTTGTGTTCTTCAATAAATATATTTCTTCATTAAACTTTTATTCTTTGTTTTTGAAAAAAAAAACAGGAGAAAAAAAAAGCAAGGACCTTTCCATTATAGAAGGACCCAACAAGATCCTTCATCTTCTCCAAAATCTCAAGATTATCATTATTATTTTTGTCTGAGAGATGTGTTTTGGATGCCCTTGTATCTTTCCTCTAAAATTGTTGATTGAACCATACCAAATTAGGCCCCTCCTAAATTGAGGGACAGTGGTTTTATTTAAATATCTGCAGATCAAGAAGTGATGACAAGGTTACTTGGAAATGCTTGCTTAGGAAAGGACATCCGTTTGATTAAATAACAATATTCTGGTATGCTGCTGCTGCATGTATGTATGCATGTATGTGAGTTAGATAAATCTGGGCACAAGCAATAAGAATTCAGGAGGAAGAAGCAAATCTAAACTGAGCACTTTCTGTAAGGTTAATATTCCAGTTTAAATTTTAACTCATTTCCAAGGTCCAAACTCTTCTTTAGAACATTAGAAACATTTCAAAAGCTTGCAGTCTTAAAATGTTAGTGTATTTATCTCTTTTAGGATGACAATGAATTTGAAATTCCAATAAGAAGGGATTAAGGCTTTTACAAATAACTGAGTAGCGTAAAAGGAGAGGTCTGACACGGGTCCAAAGGGAAAATTATGTGGTATAATCCCTGCTTATTGACCCATTCAGTGGAGAAAAATCTAGCAAGTCGAAGAGTTAAGTCAAGGGTCTTCAAACTTGGCACATTTAAGACTTGTGGACTTCAACTCCCAGAATTCCTGAGCTAACATGACTGGAGGAGGAATTCTGGGAGTTGAAGTCCACAAGTCTTAAAGCTGTCAAGGTTGAAGACCCCATGAGTTAAGTCATGGGTGAAATGTATGAAGAATATTATGTATTAACTTTGGATCCTCTAAACTTGCTTCGGGAGCATGTTCCTAAATGTTATTGAAAGAATCTTGTTCTCATCCGTCCCTACAACTTCGGACGGGCGATCCTTTTGTAGAAAGACGAGCCCGTCCGGCTTGTGATCTTCCGGCTTTTGCTGGCGCCTCGCTGTTTCAAGGGTTGCTAAGCGACACCAAAAAGCGTGTCAAGGGTGGTTGTTGCTAAGCGACACAAGCGTTTCAAGGGTTGCTAAGCGACAGAGAGCAGCGGCGGCGGCGGCGGCGGCTCGCGCTCTTCTACGCCGGCTCAACGGTCTGGTGGCGAGGCCGGAGTGGGCGTCGCGCGCTGAAGTAAGCCGCGTCAGGGCCTCCGTCCTGGCATTTAGTTGCAGTTTCTCACCGTTGACAAGCAAAGTCGAGAGTAGAAAAAAAGTGAATAATTCGCCTCAGTGTACCTTGCAAAAAGGACGGGTCCGTTGAAAATAATTCTCTGGGAAGCCACGCGCCTTTGATTACAACTTGTAAAGCGTAAGAGACGTTCGGATTTAAAGCTTCAGTCTCTCAATATTTATTGGTAAATTGATTTTTTTTATGTGTTTTTTGATCCCAAAAGCAGGCATGCATGAGACTATCGTCGTCCGGTTTCGGGCCCAGCCGTGACACCCATGAACCTGAGGTGCAAAAATCCTCTATGAGGATTTGGTTTATGGTTTATGCTTGGCATCTACGATATTCCAGATTGGGTTGATTGGGGCACAAACACAGAACTTAAAAAGTGTCAGTGCTGCTGTGGTGCAAAATCAGCATTGGGTTTTGCATTGTTGTCACCTTTGTGTCAAATCGCAGTCCACATCTGTCCGCACAGAATCAGGCATCTGAATCTGCATCAGTACAAAATGGTGACTTTGATGTTGTAGAGAGGGCAGAAAGGATGGAGAGGAAGATCTACCACCAAGCCAACAGAGAAAACAACTTGAAAAGAAACAATCTTGGAGAGTATCCCCCTTGAAATGGCTTTGAATATTAATAGCTCGGGTTGGCAGTTAGCAGTATGTTGTTGGTTTGAGCTCCCAGCTTGGTAATTTGGTTGCAAACATTTGGTCCTCATTGGAGAAGACATCTTCAGTGAGCTTTCCAAAGATGTCACTTTGAATGGGGACCAAACATTTGCAACCAAATCTCCAAGCTGGGAGCTCAAACCAACAACATAAATATCCCCCTCCCCAGTTCACAGAAATGGGGAGGGAAGCACATTCAGACTTGCAAGATTCTGTTGCTATAGCTATCACAATAAACATAGTGCTATCACAATAAACATAGTCCTATCACAATAAACGTAGTTCTAACTTACATGTTATTGCAGGCCTAACTTGTAGGGCTGGCAGATGTACAGCTTTAATATTTCCCTTAAAAAGTGCTGCTTGTAATATAAATCAAGAGGCTTAGGAGCATTTTAAAAAAAGATTAAAAGAATGAATGGCGTAGTAGGAGATAGAAAATTCAACAGTGATCACTTAATATGGAGCAAGAGGTGGCAAGGAGATTAGAACTGTGGGTTAACTATCTAGGATTACAAATTGTTAGATATATTTATCTTTGTGTACTGTAGAAATAGTCTGCAGAAGGTTAACAGATTTTAAAAATCGTGGCTTTGGTCCGGGCAGCTTCATGTAAATATTAGGATATAAGGGGGACCAAATTGAACCTGAATGGACTCATTTATGGGACTAAGTTTCTGAATCCTATCGTCTGAGAAATTGTCAGAACACAATGATCTCTAAGCACTGTTTTTTAAACTAAATATTAATGAAGTTTTTCCAGTCTAGTGCAGTGTAAGACTGTACTGCTTTGAAAGTGATTTAAAAGAGAATACTCTTTTATATCCCTATAATTCTTTTATATCCCTGTTTGTACATCAAGATCTAGGGAGAGGTTCTGATTTCATGGCACTTTTGGTTAAATGTTAGTTTATTTGTGCCATGATAATATCGAAAATATACAAATCCGTTACACTTTTGGTTGTTCCATGGTGAATGCTAGGTAAATGGCAGATAGTTAACACTTCTGATTAACTATTGCCCCAATTATCAAGATTTCTTTTCTATTAAGAGTGAAAAGTCTTACATTATTTACTCTGAAGAGAAGTTATAGTTGAAAAGCAAACAAATGTATGAATGAATTTGCTCATCTAACAAATTAATTCACGTGGTTTCAGGTATACCAGTATTTATAATTGCATTAGGAGACAATTTGTTCAAGCAAAATTATGTTTATGTAATGATTATATGTTTAAAACTAAATTACAGCTGGTGAAACGTGAACACTTAATAATTCCAGGTCTATGCAGAATGAAGATGGCTGGCCCATTGAGACACATGGAAATAATAATTCAGCAGCTTAACAAATTCCATCCTGAAAATCAGAATGTTGGGCAGTTCTTGGATGAATCAGCTAAAGTATTACAGGTATCAGATGTCTTTTGAAGCTTTCACAAAATGCACATTTGAAATACTATATTTCTAAATGTCAGGAGCCATGTATTTTTATTAGATAGATGGATAGCTTTCTTCAAGAAGGTTGTAACATATGTCTGTACTGTAGGCAAAAGAAAGTTGGTTTATGAATTGCACAAGAACTTTGATACGAACAGTTTGAAGGGCAGCATTTGTTTCTTTTTGTTTTTTTGTGGTAGGGCAGTGCAGCAAGACTTATCTCCACCAGCTAGTTCTTTTTCTCATTTGTTCCTAATCATCAAATTTTAAACTAATTTTCTAACCAATTAAGTCAGTTTAAAGTAGTCTTAGGTTTTTTTAAAATTATTTTTTGAATGGTGAGGAAGAAAAAGAGGACTTGAATGAATTCTGGACATCCAAACTCCCAAAATCTGTAAAACAATTAAAATTTGATAAACTGGTATCTGGACCTAACCCTGTGCCAGTAGGTAGAGACCTTTCATTTATTGCAAATAACCAATCAACCCATGATCACATGACCTGGGACATCACAACTATCATAAATAAGAGTCCGAAGATCTGATTTTTCTTGGACAAGCTATCACACAGTTCTTTTACTTAAAATGTTGCTTGGATTAATTTATGGTGGATAATTGTGCTTTGTATGTTTTGTACTGCTCGAAACATATACTATTTATACGTTTTGGTTACACCTTTTGGACAATAGTAGCTAATATTACTACTATTATTTTACATTGAATGATGACTTTTATATATATATACATTGTTTTTGTTTTTACATTTAAATGGTAATTCTGTGTCTGTAGCCTTTCGAAGTAACAGCTGAAATCCCTGTACCTGTAATGGATATCTTGTGTGGCTGTTTAGAATATAAAACTGTATTGGATGTGATAGTCGATGCATTTTATATTCGAGATGGAAAACATTGCCTACTTTCTGAGCGCAACATGTATATTGGTAAGTATTAATTTATATAGAGACAATATAATAATGTTAGAAAATCAGTCTGATTTTTACTCTCCTGTATATATGCTACTAATAACAGCAGCTATATTTATGGGTGTCAAGTACAACTTGCAATAACGAAAAAATAAGATGTGAAACATGTCATCACAACATAAACCTTCAGTGTTTTGTACAGTGGATATAGGAATATTAAGTCACGTTGTGTTGTTTTTCAGATTGTGATGAATGTTATCATTTGCCTAACCTGCCTTCCATTTCCACTCTTAGATACCTATATTTGGAGAATTCTAACAAATGCTAGTAAGAAACTTTAGAGTAGAAATCTTTAATAGGCTTAATTATTCACTTTGCCTTCAATATTAATGTATGTGTCTTTTCTAGTTATTTGTTATTTGGCTACTTTTCGACTAGAGGAACTTGGATTTCAGCGGTTCAGCAAAATCATCAAATCAATGGATGCTGTTAAGATATGTAAGGTAATTAAAATATTCTCATTTCATCAGAATTAAATAAAAATCCAATATTCTTGGATTTTAAGTTGTATAGACTTTTAATGAATATTTTAAATAGTGAATGATTGTTCAAAGCTACTGCTTTTAGCACTTATCTTGTATTTGCAATGGAAAATTCTTCAAGTTGAATAAATATAGACACATCCCTCTACTACTACAAAGCTATAAATATATTCAGAATTTTTAAAAGGCAAGTTATAAAATTAATATATTTAAGACAACACAGAGTTGGCATTCAGTGCTGATGATGAGGCATGGCCTATAGACTGCACAAGATGCTAAGACAAAGCCAAATTCCTTAGCACCATTCATAAAGCCACTGTAACTACATTGGAAGAAAATCTAGGTATTAACAGTTGAAGGTTATGCTACTTCTTATGAAGGCATTATTTATCTATTCAGTTAAAAAAAGGGAACTACTTGATTTTCATCATTTAGAATCTTCCGCTTAAATATTTTTGTACATCCCTTAAAATGAGACTACATTGCAACATACCAAGAATTGTATGTTTTGAAAGAAACTGGGCTTCAGTTCATGTGGTACTTTGATTTTATGTGAAATCAAACAATTCATGCTAAAATGCAAGCCAAAGCAGGCAGTCCTTGGGTTATGACCATAATTGGGACTGGAATTTATGTTGCTAAGTGAAGTTCAAGTGGGCAATTGTCCTCTCCTTATCTGGAGTGGTTCTGTTGTTCTGAAGTTGTCACTGGCCTGTCAGCCTGCCTGCAGTGTTGTTTCTCCTCTTTTAGAGACATCTTAGTTTGTTGTTCCCTCACTTGAAAGCCCTAAGTCCTCTTATTCAGAAGCACTAGATGTTGGGATTGAGAAATACTTTTCAGAATGAACTCTAATCTTCTAGAAGAAAATGACAGTTTCAGGCCAGAACACAGCCTCTCTGACATTAAACAACCAGATACACAGATATTAACAACCAAATAAACCATCAAACAGAAAATACAGATAATCCTCGATTTACAACAATTCATTTAGTGACTCTTCACAAAGTTACAATAGCACTGAAAAAAGTGACTTATGACTGTTTTTCATAGTTACAAACTTTGCAGCATCCCCATAATCATCTGATCCAATTTCAGACACTTGGCAACCCACTCATACTTATGAAAGTTGCAGCATCCTGAGGTCACCTGATCCCCTTTTGTGACTTTCTGACAGCAAAGTCAAGGAGAAACTAGATTCACTAAACAACCAGGTTACTAACTTATCAACTGCAGTGATTCACTTAATAACTGTGACAAAAGGCCGTAAAATGGGGCAAAGGTCACTTAACAAATGTCTCACTTAGCAATAGAAATGTTGGGCTCAATTGTTATCATAAGATAGGACTACCTGTAGTGGAAAGGGATGAGTTGGGGGGATCATGGACAAGGGTGGGATTCAAATTTCTTAACAGTCAGTTCTGTGGGTGTGGCCTAATTTGTGGGTGTGGCTTGGTCATGTGACCGCCTAGGCATGGCTTGTATGTAAATATTGTAAATATGTAAATATTGATTTTTTTTATAAACAACTTTTACTCAAAATCAGGCAAAGCAAGCAGGTAGATTGAGTTGCTTGCACAATCACAGATTCACTCACAGATCTATCTGTAATCTGCTGCCTGAGTCTGTCACATAAAATTTGCTTGCAAGCAAACTCATAAAATTAACTCACAACACACCATGTATGTAAATATTGATTTTTTTATAAAAAAAGAGCAACTTTTACCCAAAATCAGGCAACGCAGGCAGGCAGATTGAGTTGCTTGCAGAGTCACAGATTCACTGACAGATCTACCTTTCTGCAATATGCTGCCCGAGTCTGCACTGAAAAATAGAAGCTTCAGTCCTAAGGAAGGTTCAGCTCTGCTCTCAGGCCACTTCTCCCCCCCCCCCGCCAAGCCCCTGAATACCACCCCTGATTGGGCCTCAGGGAAGCTTCCTGGGTGAAGGCAAAGCAGTACAACAGCGATTTAGATTACCTAGAAAGCAAGAAACCCAACGATTTCCTGCTTTCTAGCTAATCTAAATCGCGCGGCACAGCTGATAGTTGGAAGAACTAAGCGTCAAAAGAAAAATAGCAACTTACCAAAAATTAGGCAAAGGCACAACACAGGCAAGTTGGATGATGCGCATGCAAGATAAGGAGTGACGGGGCGGGGCGGGGTGGGGTGGGAGGGGCGGGGCCAGCCAGTGATACGATTTGCCGGTTCTCCGAACTGCGCAGAATCATAGCAACCAGTTCTATAGAATCCCACCTCTGATCATGGAGGAATTTGGGGCCTCATTGTGATCATAAGTCGAGGACTACCTGTAATACCCTAATGAAGGAACTATGAAGGAGAAAAACCACACACCCACCAAAATTGGCAAGGAAAGCTACTGTATATGAACAGGGAGCAAATCCTACATTTGCTTCCACTAATTATGTTATCTAGCTGGGTAATAAGAAATCTGCAAGCAAATAGCCTCAGAGAACACAAAAAACTCCACCTTGTTTAAACCACTGACAGGTACTCATGGCAGGCTTCCATATCACAATAGCCACACATCATTTTCTTACAGCAACTTCCCACTATGGCTATCTATTAGAAAACTGCAACATTGGAGGCATTACATTTCATTCAGGCCTTGTATTATGTTATTGTGGTGATAAGAATATCCGTAGTGTTTCTGCAGTTCTTTGTACCAGACTGTACACTATTTTGGGAGTTCTGAAATTTTGGGGCGTATTTGCAAAATGTAAATATAGGGAAAAGCGGTATTTCCATAATATTTCCTCAGTTCTAATGGAAAATACCTACTATGGTCATGTCTAGTGCTCTAGGCAATATTTCAGTAGAAATTATGAATAAGTTACTGCTGAAAATAGAAAATATGATCTGATTTCTAGGGAAATATTTTTTGATTAAGCTTCTTTCATTGATGTATACAGTCTTTTCAGTTCCTTAGGTTCTTTTTCAATATGGTGAATTTGCAAACATGGATAAAAGATGAATGGAGTCAGATTTATGATTCGGTTTATGTAAATGAAAATTGGATTGAACCATTGGAAAAGTAAGTAATAGAAACATTGTAGACATGCTTTCTCAGAAGTAATTCCCAATTCGTTGTCAGGACATATTTCTCAAAAATGTGCATGATTTCCTGTTCGACTGGAACTACATCTTAAGTAATACTGTTCATTTGAATATCTACTTAATGGAGTTTGGCACTGTTAATTATTTGTATTGGACTTCCAGTTCAGGATCAATCTAAATGTTTAGATTCTATAAAATAATTAAAGTTGCTTATACTTGTGTTAATTAAGCAAATGGAATCCAAAGCCCAAAATGAAATTGTATTTTTGTTAGTTTGTTTTTTGTTTGTTTGTTTTGCTTCCTGGAAGATGGCAGCCAAAAATACAGGAATTGATCAGTCAGCTGGATAATATTGCAGATAAACACACTATTATACCTTTAAAGAAGACTGAACCAAATGAGTTTCACTTGACGGTCCCTAATCCACGAGCTATACTGATTCCTGAGCAAATTCCACGACAAGAGAAAACAAAACCTGTGAGTTTTGTATTTTTTTATACCAAAAATGCTTGATTGATTTTTGAAAGTATTTGAATCCCAAAGAATTAATTTAAAAAACCTTAAACTTTACTCTCTTATAATCTATTCTTCTCCAAACTCATTTTCTCCCCCACTCCCCCCATAGTGGAGAGATGCTGTAATAAATGTGAGCATTGGGCATAAAGCTCTTTATTTCAGCACTATCATATCTTTGAACACTTACTGTAGTGATGAGTTTCTTATAGATTATGTCTGTGCATGTATGTTCAGATTCCCAAGAATATTTACAAACCACCTAGAATGAAGCAGCATCTAGAAAGAATCAAACTGAAGAATCGCCAGCAAGCAGAGGCAAGTTTAGTATTTTAATAATTTATTTCACTATATTTTCTGGAATTTATCCACCCAAATTTGTTGTATTTTGAGGTATCAGTGTGGTTTCCAGGGAATTCCTGAAAATCCATAATCATATTATAATTAACCGCTTGTATTTGAATAATTGCTTTTCAAGGTTCTGCTCCATATTCCTGTTTTTGTAATAGTTGATTAAATGCTTCTGCTACATATTCTTACTGCTCACAAAAAGGCTAAGACATCAAATTAGGCAAGAAAATGGAAAGAGAACACCAGTCCATTCTAGACAAACTCATTATTGTAATGAGGAGGGTCCATCTTGTTGTCATCTTGAGGATTAGATTGTTCTCCATGCAGAAAGTATGCCTTATAAATTGGAGTCATCTGTGTGCGACAATGTTATATAGTTTTCAGGAGAAGCTCTTTTGGAACACAACTTCATTAGTAATATAGTCAAAATAGCGAACAGCAAAGCCATATTTATTGGAAGATATTAAGACTGTTGTTAATACTGGCTGACACCTTTCAAGTTTCACTGGCATTAATGGCTCCTGGGATTACTATAAAAGTGAGCAAACAGTTGAAATTTCAGTGACATAGACAAGGACCACATTTGATTCATCTTCTGGAAAGCAGCTGTTCCTTTTACGGTGTGGAGGGAGGGAGGGAGGGAGGGATGGAGAGAGAGGGAGAGAGAGATAAATAAAGTGTTTTTGTACATAAAAGAATAAACAATAAATTTCTGGGCAAAGAATTAATGTCATTAATCAATCAATTTTTATTATGGTGACATACCAGCATTCAATTAATGGCATTAAAATTATATTTTATTTATTTATTAAATTTATATTTTCTTTTAGGAACTGCTGCTAGAAGCAAATATTAATCAATTGAACTGTGCAATCCCAAAGTTTGATTACAAAAGCTCTGTAAGTGAAATGTAATAAGATTTATTTATTGTAATTTTATTGTTTGAATAATTTTGAGTAATGTTTTGTTGATACAGTATTTGATATTGATAATGATTTGCAGCATAGGCTATGAGCTCATTCTAAGTTCATTTTTAATGCTGACACAATTTGAAGTTGTTTAGCAATTGCATAACAGCACATAAGCTGTAAATTGTTGCTATTATTTGTATTTGTTGATGGCCTGTGTCTTGGTAGTTTGTTGGTAAACAAAAGAACCAATCAGTACTAGTAATAACAAGTGCCAATAAATTATGGAAGCTTGTACATTTTTAATTTTCCTATAAAATAAGAATCAAATTCTGACTTTAAATTTATAATAGCTGTGTACTGGTTATAGATCATTTCACATTTAATTTTGGAATATAAATATTTTTTAATAATGACTGAATCTTCCCCGACACCAGCCTTTTCTTTTGCTACAGAATTTTCCAAAATCGTGCAAAATGTGGTAGATTATGATTGCCTAAAAAGGCTTCTTGTTATCTTCCATTAATTATTTTTTTTATGTAGAAACACTTTTTTGTACCAGGTGGGATATTTTTTCCCCTTAAGAAACTCCTATGCAGGCCTTATATTCATTTTGTATGCACTTTAATTAGCAATAAGCATTGTATTTTATTTTATTTCTTTTAGCATCTTTGAGCTGTAACTACAATTTTGAAAAATGTGGCTGCGAATAAGGGAGTGTTATAATTTCATGAACAATTTTTTTTTGCCATTTTACATCTTTATTATCAATTACGATAAATTATCCTGGCCTAGGTCAAGGATTTTCATTTTAATGGAACTTTTCATTCTGATTCTCCTTTATTTACCTTCCTTAATTTTCTACTATTTATTATTGACAAATATTTACATAATTTGCATAATCAAATGCATATCTCAAAAGTGTGTTTCACTTTCTTTTTTCCATTGTTTTTTTCCCCCCAAAATTCAAGTTGCCTTTTGAAAAGCACCTTTGGGACAACCATGACCTGGATGACTGAGAAACTCCATGGACAATCAAATGCATAATTTGTTTTTGAAGTTTGCTTTTTTCAATAGAATAAGTTATGTAATAAAGCTACAATAATTTTTACTTCTAGATGAAGGAAATCCCAAACCTTGTTGAAAAATTTGAGGCCCAGAAGATCAAGACGAAGGTGAGGAGCAGCTCTGGGTTATCTAATGTTTTAAATTGGTGAGATTCAAAAAAATCATTTGAAATCAATTTAAAACTGGACAGGCAACTTTTTGGTGGCCAAGGACTTCCTTAATGTTTCTTTTTTTTAAAAAAACATTTTTAATTAAGTTATAAAGTATTATAAAATACAAAATACAAAAGTAAATAAAAGAGCAGTGAAGGGAGAGGGGAAAGAGGAAAGAGAAGTGAGGAAAGGTAGGGAAAAGAAAAAAAAGCATTGGCTTCCGACTCTCTCTGTTGCAGTAGAATAAGGCATTAACATCAAATTACAGCTTTTTGTTTTTCCATAATATGAACAAGTCATTTCTATAAAAATCTATCTATCTAATCTGTAAAACCCAAAGTTTACATTCTTTTCCACATCAAGCACGAAGTTCAGAAGTGGTTTCCATGTGGAAACAAAAGTACTTATGTTCTTTTCTTTAATCAGTGTAGTCAGTTTTGCCATTTCAGCCAACTCCCATCAACTTCTGCATCTATTCTTCCATGGTAGGTATTGAAGTCTCCTTCCATTTTGCACACAGGTCTTGCTGTTGTCAGCATATATAGTAACAAAGTTCCATTTTTTTTCTCTAGTTCTTTTTCCATTATGTGTGCGTATACAAAACCTCTAACAGTAGTATCTTTGAAATATCTTAGAAATAAGATCCACTTATTTTCATATGACTTATTTTAGATAAATAAGATTTGATTGTAAGGTAAATGTGAAATGAAATATTTTAGGGAATTAATAGATCTTAATATAGTTTGACTGTTAATCATACTTGGGAGGATATGTCACTGATGAAAATAGAAACAGGTTTTTTTACTTTAGATACTATACAACTTATCATCAACCACCTATTAACTATCTAAAGAAACCTAAGTAATAATTTAAAAATGTAATTAGGGAATATGGTACTGTTATATCAGTTATAGACTGTTAAAAGATTTCTCTTGCAATTTTGCTTCTAAAAATATTTATGCATTAATTTATCCAACAGACTGACAATACCCCTGTTAGGCTAAATGCAGCAGCAATCTTAAGAGAAGGTGTTCTGTACCAAAGAAAAGTGGAACAGGAGCTTAAGAGGTACTTAACCTGTGCCAGATTTTGGTAGTCTTTTTATGCCTTCTAAAGAATGACTGTATGATTGTATTGCATTAAAGGGAATTAAGATATTCTCTATTGTTTATAATAAAATTATTCTCCTCTCTTTCAAAATGTAAAAGATTCCAAGGGTTATTAATAAAGATCAGGCTATGCTATCTGAGATACAGTAATAGTTGTGGAAATTCTGAATAATAACATAAGAAGAATCCAAGGCATAACTATTTTAGTATTTTCAGTTCTCCTAGATGACGGGAGTTAGTTTGGTGTAGTGGGCTAGAAACTGGAAGACTGTGAGTTCTAATCCCATTTTAGGCACAAAGCCAGTGGGTGACCTTGGGCCAGTAACACCCATTCAGCCCTAGGAAGGAGGCAGGGACTTCTCTAGGCAATCTCCGGGAGTCAATGGTATATTAAGATACTGTAGAAACATAGAATTAGAAAACTGACAGCAGAAAATGTCCTGGTTGTCCATTGAGTCTGCCCTTTGAGTTTTCTGATTTTTAAATTTATTTATTTGTTTGTTTATTAATTAATTAATTAATTTTAATTTTTTATTTCATTTTTTAAATTTTTGTTGGGTGATGGACATGTGTTTATTCCAGGCATGTTTAAACTTTGCTACTGATGATTGACCAACTACCTCCGCTGAAAGTTGATTCCAAGCTTAGGATATAAGAATCAGATGTGTCTTTCTCAACAGTTGTAATTAAAAGAGGTGCACTTCTGAGAGACTGGAGATAATGAACATTTGTATAAGCTTCAGGTCAACTGTGTAAAATCAGTTTACCATGCTAGAAATCACAACAGAATGACTGAGAATCTCCATAGACATTCTTCAAATAGAGGCATACCGCTGCTTTTTTCAAGTAGATAGATACCACTCCTTCTTTTAAAGAAGCACTAATGACCTCCCAAATCCAGTCAGTCTTCCCTAAAGAAGCCAGATTGGGCTAGGATCCAGCCCACCGTACACAAGACCCAGCTTGTTTGCTTGCTTCTGTCTGTCTGTCTGTTTGTCTATCATCTGTCTGTCTGTCTGTCTGTCTCATCTATCATCTATCTATCCATCTATATCTATATCATCTATATTAATCATCAATGTATATCAATCATTATCTATCTATCTATCTATCTATCTATCTATCTATCTATCTATCTATCTATCTATCTATCTATCATCAATCTATGTAGCCCAACCTTACAAAACATAGTAAAAGACAGTCTAGAAATAAAAATTAAAAATAAGCAAGAAAATGGTAAGTGACCGATTTAGATGAGTTCAAATCACTGGGACTTGATGGATTGCACCCCAAAATTCTAAAGGAGCTAGCAGATATTATCTCCACACCATTGTACCATATCTTTCAAAGATCCTGGAGCATTGGGGAAGGACTACATGTTGGGTGCAGTTTGTCAGCCTGCTACAAATCCATCTGGTGGTGATGCTGTCTATCTCACATTGATTTTATCTTACCAAGAAGTAGATTGTGGTCTACTTTGCCAAATTCCTTACTAAATCCATGTATACTATGTCCATAACATTTTTCTGGTCCATTAATTAATCACTTTGTCAAGGAAGGAAATAAGATTTGTTTGACGTGATCTACCCATGTTGGCTTCTGGTTATAACTTTGCTTGCTTTTAGGTGTTAGGTGAAAAAAGAGTATTTCTCAAGCTAGAAGAGGTGCAGACCAGTGGTGGTATTCGACCGGTTCTGCCTGGTTCTGGAGAGCCGGTAGTGGCGATGAGCAGTGGAGACCGAACCGGTTCTCTTTGCTGTTCTGTGGTTGCCCCACCCGCCCTCCCGGGCTCCCATACTCACTTTTATGGCCAGAATTCAAAGCGTAGCTGCTTTGTGCAGCACAGAATAGCGCTGTGTGGCAGCTGCTGCAGTGACCACCATCATGCAGGCTTGCAGGAGGCAAGTTAGAATGCCTCTGCGCCTGCGCAAAGTGCGTGTTTGACACACGCGTGCACGCAAAGTGTATGCATGCGCGCAAAGCGCGGCCACCAAGCCATGCCCACCGAACCGATAGCAACTTTATTTGAATACCACCACTGGTGCAGACAACTTACCTAGGGGTTACCCTTATGGTGTTTGGTTGATATTTGTCTAGGAAAAAGGCTGGCAATGCCAGGGAAACGAGGCAGAAGAGAACTGAGCCAAAGGCCAGAGGCCTCCACTCATAACTATTATAGCCTTCACATAAGATAGCAGTGTTTGAGCTGTACTGTTTCCCTTCGAATAATCTGTTTTAATTTTTATTATAGAATCGAACATCTTCTCCAAGGAGCACAGGATCCATCAAAATTTCTGGAATGGCAACAACAAATGCGTGGGAAAGATTTGGACCAACAGCTGACAGAAGCAGAATGTAGAAAACTACAAGGAAAGCTAAGCTACGAGGAAGCTATTTTAGCACGCCAATATTGCATTCAGGAAAAGAAAAAAAATGCCGAACAGAAGAGAGAAGAGGTACTGAGTGTTCTTCAGATTTCAGATGGGTTTGAGTTCTGCATGTGGGTTATAGATTATAGATACATCATTAAATTATAGATAAATGCATTTGGCAGAAAAAGGAGTTTAAGTAGATTCTTGAAGTATGCAGGAAAAACAGTGCTTTTCATAAAAAAAACCCCTTTCCTCTTTTTCAATCTCAAAAGGATCTCTGTACAAAGGCTATGTAATGCATAAAGCACATCATGTTTCTTATTCAGACTTAATAAGGATAAGAAACTACACAATCTCCCTCCTTCTATTCATAGTGCATCTGTTTTGTTAAGATGCAATTTTGATTTATTGACTCTCCTGAAATTTACTTCTGCATTTAGATATTTCTTCATGGCTTGCAAATGTGTTTTGTTTTTTTGATATCTTATGTATTGATACCTTATTTCAGATCTTCAAATGGTGTTATATACATGTTGATCAGCTTTTAATCACTTGCTTTATGAGGGTTTATTTTCATTCCTTTATACTTCCTACCATTGCTGCTCTTTTCAGGAGAAATTACTTAATAGATTTGCAGGGAAGCTGGGATAAGGTTGTGTTTCTAACTTCCTTTCTAAAAAATTTTAACCTTTAAATAAAGATGTGGAAGACTATTGTGAAATCATTTAAAACAATCTCTTTTTTTCCCAATTGAACCTAATAGATTTACATCCGTTTGCTTACCTGGAATTATTTTTGGATTTTAGACAGCAGAAATGCATCTCCAGTATGCAGAAAGATGCCTTCAGGAAAGGAAGGAAAAGGAGAAAAAGGTTCAGCAAGTGGCAGAGGGACATAAAAATGTGAAGCAAGCACAAATGAAACTCCAAAAATGCAAACAGCAAACAGGTATTAACAGTGTCAGATCGATAGATTTTTAACAAAATTATTTAGCAACTGGAACATTTATGAACTTGAGAGAAATGTCATTAAGATGACATTTCATAAACATTCTTCTTGTTGGAGCAGTAGCAATGAGATTTGGTGGGAGATTTATCATTATCCCCTCTGTCATGGTCAGGGCATGCCATAGTGGTCTTGAAATTTTCCAGGGCTGCCTCCTTTCCCAGGGAGGCTGGACATATTTGAATAATCCATCCTCAGCAACCTTTCAGGTTCCAGAGTGAGCTGGAGGATATCCAGGGGATGACTGCTGTGCAGACTCTGGCCACAGCCTGGAATCGAAAGATGGCCGGACTGGTGATAAGATCATGCTCATGTGTCATATGTCCTCTCTTGATCCATGTCTCCTGTTTCCTCCCCATAGTTCACAGTTAATGAGCGTGTTGAAGAAGGTCAAGAGCACCACTGGAGGAAGACAAAAAAAGAATCCAATTGGTCATAAATGTACTCCTGTCCCCATGCCCCACAATTATAGCTGCTATTCTGTGACTTCCAGCCATCTTATTTGAGAAGACAAAATGAGAAAACTCATTGGTTTCAGAGATTGCACTTAAAAATCTTTGCCCTTTAAAGAGGTTGCATTGAAAAGCTTCACCATCCACAATGTATAAGTCTCTGAAAAATTTAAAAACAGCTCTTGAATACTTCGGAACTTAGAGAGTTCTAGATAGATTTCATTCTATACAAAATGGATTCCCTCTGTTCCCTGGTGGTGCTTTTAATCTGTGGAATCCCTAAATACCCCTAAACATTTAAAGAAATTGCTACCCATATGGTGTCTATAAATGTCATCTGCAGGAATGGGATGGAATGGAATACAGATCTACCTTTTGGGGTCTATGTTGATTACATTGTCACTGGCCATTGATTCAAGTTGCAGAGTAGCAAGAGTTCTTTGAAAAGGTATTCTCTGCTCACTGAGACTCCAATTACCATTTACATCAGAATTCACACTATTTGCAAATCATTTCTGTATTTACTTATCTTTGACAATAGCATATTGGTAAAGTTTATATCTTTTTCTGCTTTTCTAGTTCAAGAAATATCTAAAAAAAGCCAGGACTTGCTACTTCAGGCTTTAAAAGATGAAGAAGAGAAATTTAAAAAAAGATATGAACTGATTCAGCAAATAAGAGCGATAGAATATGTGCCATTCCTGAAAAATAGATTTATTGACTTAACAAAGGTAAACTCATAATGAAATATTATGGATAAGCCAACAGTGAATTAGAAAAAGAAGATCTTTTGTTTATTATAAGTTATGAATCCTGTCTTGTTCGAAACATCTAACTACAAATTACAACTTCAAAATTACAACTTCTAAAATTCTTTCTCTATTAATTTTTCCAGAGTTTTAGAAACCATTATTACAATGTTGGATAGCGTTGCTAGAACATGACCTGGCCATTCATTTTTTGTGAGCACCTTGTGGTTGAATGTAATTTTTTATGACAGGAATATGAAATCTGCAGTATCTTGAATATTTTCTGGCAATCCACCTTTCTTAAACTTTTATTCCTGATAATTTATTCCTTCCAAATTGTCAGGAAAGAAGATTAAACAATGGATCATTTAGCTCAGTACCATGAATCTTATCTTGTTTTACTAATAAGATTTATTAATTTATTTATTTGTGTTCATTCCTAATAATAAACCATGAGGTTGGGCAACCCAAGGTCCACTGGCCATCTGCCAGCTGTTACATTCCTTTGGTCCTCATAGCTGATTCCAGATACCAGGAGTGAAGAAAGTAACATGTTTTGCTGTATACTGTTCCCATTGAAAATCAAAGCTAATCCACAGATTGCTGCTGCTTACCTTGGTTATTTTTGTTTGTATTTCAGTTCTCAAAGAAGTTATATGTGAATGCGATGTTCTTGTTTTATTTGGTAACAGTGAAGTTATTATACTCTGTCTTTCCATCTACTATGTGCATTATTTTCTGTTTTCAGATCTTTACTAAATTTTTTGTATAATTACATTGGCTACATGTCAGGGAGTTGCACAGCAGATGTCCAAATGAGGTCAGAGACGGTGATACAAACTTTATATAAATAAATATATTTACATTTATATTTACAACAGACAAGATAGTCAGGCTAACAGGATCATTATGAGGTAAATTGTCAGGACATACAGAAGAAGAATTTAATTTTGTTGTACGAGGTGCAATGACAAAAAAATGAACTAACTAAATTTTTTAAAAAGGCAGGAAAAATGGGAAACTCTCCTCTACATCCACAGCAGCCAATCACAGCGCAGATTGCCTCACACAGGAGTCAGCACTCTCCAACCAATCAACCACAATTGTGTGTTCTGGATCACTGCACAACACCATTGCTCCAGCTACTAAATTTAAAACACCATAGTTGTGCTTTTAACACCTCCCCCTTTCTACAATCACCCTCTTTACTTTGACTTCCTTACCCACTAGCTTCACCTTTCCTGAGAATATATTTACTGTTCTCTAAAATGTATTTCCCTTATTTTATTATTGTTCGATTTGTACCCTATCCTTCCTTCAAGAGCTCTGGATGGCGATGCCCATTTTCTTGAAGTCCAATATATACAGTATGTTTGACTAGACTTGGCTTTAGTTTCCATTAAAATGAAGCAGTGTAGCATTCCACAGTCATTTTTCTCTCATTGTTGCACAATGGTGACTGATATCAAATTAAGGATACCTGATTTTCTTCTGTCCTTCTCCAGTTTCTCTGAAGGTGAAAACTATCAGAGAGTTTTCAACTTATCAACTGCAGTGATAGGAGTTTCTGTAAGGAACTGTGCTGTAGATTGACAGCTTTTCTAAACTTTGCATCATTCTTTACTTAAATACTTACTTTCAATACTTAAAGCCAATTTACATTTTATATTTGTTGCCACAAAGTTCAAGACCTAGTCCTCAGCAAGAAGAGCAGGAAAGATGGCAATATAGGTCATCCTCGACTTACAACAGTTCATTTAATGACCGTTCCAAGTTACAACAACACTGAATAAAGTTACGACCTTTGTAGCATTCCCATGATCCTATGATGATCAAAATTCAGGTGCTGAGCAATTTATTCATACTTAAGATGGCTGCTATGCCCCGGGGGTCACATGATTTCCCCTTTTGTGACCTTCTGACAAGCAAAGTCAGCGGGGAAGCCAGATTCACTTTACATCCAGTTACTAACTTACCAACTTCAGTGATTTGCTTAACAACTGTAGCAAGAAAGGTCCTAAAATCGGGTAAATCTCATTTAACACATGTCTCAATAACAGAAATGTTGGGCTCAATTGTAGTCATAAGACGAGGACTACCTATAGTGGAAAGGGATGAGTTGCGGGCAATCCAAAACTCCTGGGCTTGCATTTTGTTTTGTCCGTATGTGGACTGTAATGTAAATGAAGATACAACAGAAATACGTACTTCTGCTTTTCTTTTCCACAGACTGCCAACCACGGTGTACTTGGGGAGATGTCAATTGTGGAACTTCAAGAACGTTTAGCTTTGCTGAAAGAAGCTCAGCAAAAAGCAGAAGAAGAGAAGAGGGATCTGATAATCCATGAAAAACATGCGAAGGAACAACTTCTTTTGGATAAGTTGGATCAAATCTGCATGTTCAGAGAACAATTTGGCAGAGCAGCTGCATTAAAGTTAGTTTGAAATGCTGTTATATTTATCCAGATTCCACTGTTTAAACATCGCCATTATTTATGATGAACCACATGCCATTAAAATGTGCATACTAAATTTATTTCTTTAACAATTCTGGGAGTTGAAGTCCACAAGTCTTAAAGTTGCCAAGGTTGGACACCCCTGTTGTAGACAAAGCCAAATGTTGCTCATTGTGGCTTTAAGAATGGATTTTTATCAATATTCTGTGCTTCAGAATACCCAGCATCTGAAATACTGTATGTTCACAATTTTTGAAAGGGCGTTTCTTTAATGTTCTAGCCTTTCATTATACTGTTTGTTATATTTCCAAGGACAATGTAGGGATTCACATTTGTGAAATAGGAAAGATTTTCTTCTTGAAGTACAGTGGATGTAAAAAGTCTATACACACCTGTTAAAATATCAGGTTTTTGAAATGTAAAAAAAAATCAGATCAAGAGAAATCATTTCAGAATTTTTTCCGCTTTTAATATAACAAATAAAGTGTACAATTCAACTGAAAAAAAAAAACCCTGAAATCTTTTAGGTGGAATAATAATACACACAACAATGTGTGGTATGCATGTGCATACTCTCTTAGAAATAAGGATAATGATCAAACTGATGTTAAATAGTAGTTAGCTTGCCATCCATTAAAGGGACTTTGAACAAACCCACTGTTCAGATATTCTTTTAGTAGGATTTTTTTTCTGGCATTTATTCAGTTGCCTCTTACAGCAAAAGCCATGGTCTGCAAAGAGCTTCCAAAGCATCAAAGTGATCTCATTGTTGGAAGGTATCAGTCAGGAGAAGGGTACAAAAAATTTCTAAGGCATTGAATATGCCATGGAACACAGTGAAGACAGACATCAACAAGTGGAGAAAACATAGCATAATGGTGAACTGGATGTCCCTCCAAAACTGATGAAAAAAAATAAGAAAATGTGGTGCATGAAATTGCCAAGAAGCCTACAGCAACATTAAAGGAGCTGCAGAAATTTCTGGTGAGTATGTGTACCATACACGACAACAGTCTCCTGTATTCTTCATATGCCGGCAGCGGGGTGGGGTGGCAAGACAGAAGCTTTTTATTACAAAGAAAAAAACCCAGCTATATTTTACAAACACCTACATTAACTCTGACAGTAAAGCATTGTGGTGGCAGCATTAAGCTCTGGGGCTGCTTTTCCTCAGTTCGAACTGGAGCTTTAATCAAGGTGGAAGGAATTATAAACAGTTGCAAATATCAGTCAATTTCGGCACAAAACCTTTAAGCCTCAGCTAAAATGTTGAAGATGAAGAGGAATTTCACTTTCCAACATGACAGCGACCCAAAGTATACCTCCAAATCAATAAAAGAGTGGCTTCCCCAGAAGAAGATCAAAGTTTTGGAATGGCCCAGCCATCCAATTGGAAGATATCCAATTGAAAATCTGGGATGACTTGAAGAGGGCTATGCATAGGAGATGCCCTCACAATCTGACAAATTTGGAACGCTTGCGAGAAAAAAATGAACAGAGCTTCCCAAGAAAAAATGTGCCATGCTCCTACTCCAAAAGATTAAATGTTGTAAAATCAAAAGGTGCTTCAAACAAAATACTAGTTTAAGGACTATGCACACTTATGCAACTATGTTACTGTATGTTTTTAATGTTTTTCTCCCCCCAAAAGATTTTAGTTTGTTTTTCTATTAAATTGTACAGCTTATATATTAAAAGCTGGAAGGAATTCTGAAGTGATCTATCTTGGTCTGATATTTTTACATCCTCCAAACCTGGCATTTTAACAGGGATGTTTAGACTTTTTTTTTACATCCTCTGTACATCTTGCGCCTCTTTGCTGCCATATTCTTTTGAGTATTGCCACAAGGTATGTAGCATGACTTGAATATGTTCCTATCTTCAGAGGGATTGATGCATGGTCTGAGATGGACATTATTTTTTTTATCTATTCCTCATTTACTCTTGCTCCATTTTCCAAGACATGAAGATATAATTAAGGATATTTTATGCAACAGAAGCTGGCTGGGAAAGCGGAAAATGGTGATCAGGTGAACCTGGTACCCTGCATCAGTCAAAAATAATTTACCTGGCACCTGAACTGCAATCTTGCGACCACAGGGATGCCGCAGTAGTCATAAGTGCAAGGACTGGTAGCGGGTCTCTTTTTTTTTCAGCACGGTTGTAACTTTGGTTGCTAAGCAAATGGGTCATCAATCAGTAACTGTCTATATTTCAGGTAAATCTGAATTTCAACACATACTGAATTAGACTCAGCTTTAGCAATTGGCTAAAATTTCTTGCCATTAATCAGATTGTTGTACAATTGGAAGTTTTGTAATCTGAAAAGTAATCTCAGTTGATGTATGTTCCCTGCCTATTTGTTGCTGGCTTTTTTTAATGGTGGGAAAAATTGAGATAATTATTTTGCTGTTGTAACTGATTCAGAAGAAGTATATGAAAGTTCCATTAAGTCTAAGATATTCCTGGTGTGCTTTTTGAGGAAATTTGAACTCTCTGCCAGGGACTACAGATCTACAACTTTAATTCCTTTTCATTTATTTATGAAGAAATAAGGGCAGAATCTAGCTGGATGCATGTCTCATAATGCTGTTTGTTTATAATGGAACCATGTTTGAATGTATATTTTTCTTCTTGTATGTCTTTCTTGTTAAGTTGTAATTAAGTAATTGTTTCTAGATCACAACTAATTGATAAAAGTTATTTATTACACTTTTTTTAGACAGGAGGAAAAGAAAACTAAGACCGCACCTCGTGAAGCCATTTTAAAAGAAGAACAAGTTTTAGAACTACAGAAAAAAATTATGGAAAAGTCTACTGAACGTAAAATGCAATCTGGATATTTAAAAACTACAGTTCAGAAGTCTAATGGAAAACCAAAGCAATTTTGGAAGTTAGATAAAGTAAGGAAAGGAAAATAATTTGTTTTGCATTTTATGAAATAATCAGACTGTCCTCTCTTAATTTAACGGGTCTTTGAAGCATGTGTGGAAATTCTTGCAATGTATATTCTTGCTTTACACTTTAAAACATTAACCATATACCCATGCATTTAATACATTTAGTGTATTCTGTATCTTAGTTGTAGAACATAAATTTCCATTCCTAACTCGTATACAAGACATACGCTCATAAAAGGCATAACTATATGATATCAAATTTCAAAAAAGTTAAAAATTTGTATAAAACAGATGATTCAAATGTTCATCAAGTAAAATATATGTTAAAATTTAAAGTGTAATTTCAACACATATTTCAGTGCTTGATTAATACCTGAAACTTTTTGAAACTTAAATTTTCTAAGAGAAAAATGAACAACAAAAGAACAAAAATGTTCTTAAGTAACTCTAAAGAGCGTTTTTGTCCTTTTGTTCTCGTTTAATTGCTTTTCAAATTTACTATATAATGCCTCCCAATTTTATTCTGTCAGTGCTCATCAAAGGCTAAAGTACAGATTGGTGGGGTGGCCATCAACTACACATTAATATTAAACTGCTTGGAGGGTAGCACCCTTTTCTTTGCCGTCCTTCACAAGGCACGAGGCAAGGAAGTTGTTAGTGAACTGGGGTTTGCGTGGTACCTAGCAGAATTTGCTTTAAGATGACATCTTCATCTGAAGGAGAAAATTGTTTTTGAATTTAAATTGGCAGCAGTAGCCTGCTATTGGGTAATATGGTAATCACAAGAATATGGCAATCTCCTCACTGGTGATTCTGGGTCTCTCTCTCTCCTGCTGATCAAGGAGAGAAATGCTCGGCTAAATACTTAATGAGGCCACTGGCCATTCCAAGCAGCATCTTAGATAGCTTGATGAAGGGTCACATAAAAGTTATTTTTTCTTGTGTCTTGCCAATCTTTTCCAAGTTTCACTGAGACTTTGTAGTCAAACCATTATCAGTTGACCTAGGCGCAGGATCTTAGGGACGTATTAACAAATTTCTTCCGGATGTTGAAGGAAATCCTACTGGTGTATTGTGGGGCACCTCGAATCAGCATTCTGGACCATTTGTGGCATCTGGATGGTCTTCAAGAGCGGCCTCACGTAGACCATGTTGCAACGATCATTTTATTTAACATGTCTGAATTAATATTAACATGCTCTATATTTTGCTTTCACAGAAAACTCAAGGAGAGGATCGCTGGAAGAAATTGGAAGAAAGTCGACAACAGCAATTTAAAATGCTTCAGCATGGTCTTATGTCTAGAGATAATGCTCAAAAAATGATAGTAAATGAAGCTCTGAAAACTGGAGCCACCGCTTGTATATTAAGAAATTGTTCCTAGATATACTACTACTTATTAGACATTTACTACTAACATGACTCCATTTCTGATTTTATTCTTTAGATATGGCTATTAACCGGCAGCTGTTTTTGGTTCATATATGTTGGAACTATAATGTTTTTTAAACATTTTTAGCTATTATAGTGCTAGTTTTCTAAACAAGTATGTGGTACTTTTTAAATAAGTTATATTTTTCAGATAAATAAGGGAGACAAATAAAATGCATTTTAATATTTTAAAATAGCTTTTCATTTAAACCAAGATATCCCAGATGGATGTATTCAGTGATTTTTAGTTTACGAGGCCTGTTAGTATTGTATAATTGAATATAATTCAATATAATATGCAGCTTTTGAACGTCAGAATTTTCTGCTATAGTCCGATCCTTCTGGAATATTCTCCCTTGAAATGTTAGGATGACCCTGATCTTGGCCTTTTTGTAAGGCTCTGAAGATTTGGTTGTGTTACTTGAGCCTGGGTACCTGAGTGTGTTACGGGCCATGTTTCCTGGCTGTATCTATAGGAACCCTTTTAATCAGTGCCATTTATATTTATTTTGAACCGTTTTATTTTATTAAGTTTTAATTGTTTTTATTATGTCTGATCTCATGTCAGAAATGCAGGAACTAGAAAGGGGAGGGACAGGATTTAATATTTAAAAAATTAAACACTTTAATATAGATTAAAAATCTGCTGGTTAGAATGCAGTATTGCAGGCCAACTCTGCCCCCAGACTGGAGTTTGATCCTGATGGGGCTTGAGGCTAACACCAGGTTCCATCCTTTGGTAAAATGAGCATCCAGATTATTAGGGGCAATATGTGAACCACCCAAAGTCTGCTGTAAAGCACTGTGTGGTGGTATATAAGTCTTAAGTGCTATTGCTATAATTCTAGCTCAATAATGGACTACATCAGTGGCATAAACATTTCCGGCCAGCAAGTCATTCTGTGTGCAAATTGGTCCCAGAGAACACTGTAAAAAATAGATGCTTCTTTGGATAGTGCCACATTCAGAGTGATATCTTCATCCTCAGGGAGAAACCCCCATTTTCCCATTTAATCTTTAGTTCTAGCCAGACCAGTACATTTTATTATGTACACTGCCCAGTGTCATTTGTTGAGATGGGACGGCTACAGAAATCAAATCATTTAATCAACCAATCAATCATTCTCTTAACTTTATAACATTACTCCAAAAGGGGATATAAAGAACATGATCAAAACATGTAAGTTACGATGCTCTTGAATTTCTTGCAATGCTAACAAATAATAATTCATTGTGTACCAAATATTGTAGATACTGTCCCATGGATATTAATCTTTTGATGGATTAATTTCAGCTTTAATTCATAGGGCATAAACTTTGTATTTTTCAAAACATGAATCCTTTGAGTCCTTTGACAGAATTTCACTTGATTCTGAGCTGCTTGTTGTAGATATTTTGAACTATTTCTTTTAACTTTTGACAAAATAAAGTAGGTTTGGATTCTGAAATTAATTATTTAGTAAACATTTATTTTATAAATTGCTAAAGCATCAGATTCATGTTGAGAGGTAAAGCATGTTTTAACTGGATATATCTCCATCGTTGCATTGATAATAAAGAAAATTATGTTTGCAGTTGCTGAAAAGATTTAAAATAATAATTAAATACTTGTTCTCTTAAAATTATACATTTTTGCCCCCAGGTTTTACCCTCAAATTATGCTAGAGAATTAGTTATTCATGAAATTTCATATCAAATTTAGACACCACCTAGCAAAGTCCAAATGTCTTACCACTAACAACATTGGAAAAACTAAATTAATCCAATAACCTTTGCTTACCATCTGCTAAGATTTAAATGGGTATGTACTTTCCAGGTTAGCAATTTGTGGCAATTAAAGGCAATATGTTCAAAAAAATAAATATTTTCATTAATTCATCAAAAATTCATTAACACAGATTGGTACTAAAATGTAAGCCCAGTGAGATATTTGAAACCGAAGATGTCAGCTTGCCTGCATAGGTACCAGTAGCCAATGTCCAAAACAGCAGATGAGACCATTATTAGGCTACATTCTGACTGACTGACTTGGGATTAACTTCCAAGAGTCCATGATGGCTTTCCTGGGCCATCAATTTGTCAAGTGGCATAGTTGTTCCCAATGGAAAATTGGCAGGCAATCAAGGGTGCCATGCAAGGAATCATTCAGATCTCGTGCATTCAGCTCCTTGGGAGAGCCCTACTGCCTCAACTATAATTGAGCCATGCCTTCTTCGGTGCCTGATTGCTAGTCTCCCCTTGAGGCTTGCATTCATTCAGGGAATCTTGAAAAGGTTCTTCCATCTGTGATACTTCAGAATCTGAACAGGCCATGATACTATCTGTAGCATCCTATTTAGAAAATGTGAAAGAATTCCTGAGTACTTTATAAGACAAAAGTTCTGGTCCACCCCCCCCCTTTTCTGAAAGTGTGTGCCCACTTTCAATAAGACTAGACAGGATGTCCCAAAGGTGCTTTTTCAGGAGGCAACTGGACTGTTTTTCTCTGAAGACATTTCACTTCTCTTCCTTCTTCAGCTCTGGCTGAATGGTGTGGAATGAAAGGGTCTATAGTCCTTGCAGACAGCTGGTCATTTGCTTTCTTTTAGAGCAGGGCTGTCAAACTTGCGGTCCATTGGCCCAGTTTAGCAAAGGGAAAAGTTGTGATACATCAGGTGATGCCGCCATGACGACACATATTTGACATTCATTTTAGAGAGTTGTTGAGGCCACTTGAAAGTTTATCTGTCATTTGATTAATACAAATGTGTGCGGAGCCTTCTGGGCTGCAGGATGCCCTGGGTTCCTTCAGTATTGAAGACAGGCTACAGGCTGTTGGGGAGGAGTCTGTGTTGTCTGCTTCTCAAACTGAAGCACAAATGGTTCTTGCAGTCTGTAAGTTTTCTGGAAATCCGTTCATATACCCACACTATTCAAAAGGTGTTCATCCCAAAGTACATAGCAAAATCTCTATGGAGATTCTCAATCACCCAGGTCATGGTCAACAAAACTCTTGAGTAACATAGTTTGTTTGCAAGACTATCCAGTGCCTAGCTGAGGCTGACAGGTGCTTTTTCAGGAGGCGACTGGACTTGTTTTTCTTTCAACACTAAACCAGCACCCAGGTTTGATTCTTTGGGAAGGGGACACCCCCGTAATTCCTGTCCTTTCTGCATCCCCTTAATATCTTGCAGGATCCACAGGAGTCCGGATTGTGGCTCACTTGTCCTAACCAGCTTTCAGAAAATTGAGCATGCACCTAATATCTTTGCCAACATCTCCCTGGGACCATCACATTTCTGTGTGACTTTTTAGTCTGCCACTGTTCCCACACCTCCTGTACAATATATCCACAGTCTCCCTCTTTTCTTTTCCTGCCTCCCTACAACTGTGTTATTAGCTGTATCTGACTGACTGTGTTGGTACCTGGGAAATGCCTTGGGAGACAGGGCCAAGAGATTCTGCTCAAGGAACAGTCAGACAGGAGGCAGCTTGGCCTGCAACGGGAAAATGGGTGAGAAGGGACCCTTCTAAAGAGAATTGTACATTCAGACTGGCAAGACTCTGTTAATGTAGCTTCACTATAAAATAGAATTAAGTCACCTGCCTGGTCTAACTGGTAAGGACACCTTTCTGCCCTCAAATTTCCCTCATTTTATTTGTGGAGGCATTAAAACAGTCCAAATGTATGTTTGTTTGATGCTGGCTGTTACATAAAAGTTTTGCTCACCTCTAGGAAGGAGTTCCATCTGTTCACAGATATTAAAGCTATGGGTTTTACCTCTAGGTAAAATTAGAGATAGGCTTAAGAATAAACAGGTGATGAATGGAAGTGGACTAAATACAAAAACAGTCATTGCAGGAAATATGTATTTCAAGACAGTTTGGTCATACAGAGACTCTGAACATTATTTCAAGAGAAAGGTATGACGAATGAGTATGCTGAATAGAGTTGTTGAGATCTAAAAATAAAAAGGTGACAACTTTGAAAAAAAGACATGTGCATTGTGAAAGTTGTCCAATTTAATCCACTATCCTCTTATTTTCAACACATATCGGTACATACTTATGGGAAGAAATGGAGCCAAAACATAGCTCTATCTTTGCTAGTTAACATTTGGTGAGAAACTTAATTTGTTACTTTTTGTTTGAATGCATCTGAAACGGCCCTTCACCTTCATTACCCAGCACTATAATTTTGAACTGCAAATGTATTTTCTATTATATGCTCCATTGGGACACTCATCTTGAGAACCTTTTTGCTTTTAACTGACACTGTTCCAGGTGAACTTGTATTCTGAGAAAATCAGTGTCACCATCTCATTGTTATCCCCAAAGAATTCCCTCAGACCAGAGGCATGAACTGCTTCTACAAGTCTCAGCAGGAGGAAAAAAACTAACCCTCTTCCCCTAACATTAGCTCAAGAGGGATTACTCACTGCCTTTCCACGATGTAGGGTTCCATATGTTCCTGATGAGAATGGACAATCAAGGTAGAATTTTCCTTAGAAGCATTCCAGAAAAACATTTCCGAGGCTGGCTTTACCCTTTCCATGCAGTTATAGAAACACTAGATGGACCTGTCTCCTGATTGGAAGCTTTGGAAAAGGCCAGAATCATTTTTTGGATTGGTGCAAGTCTTGACAAATTTTTTCATCTAACACTTCAACAGAACCAGTCCAGCGCTATCCACCCTGCACCAGCATGAATATGCTCTGGGTCACTGGTCTGCTGTCAGGCCCTAATGTTTGTGGAGATTCTCAGTCATCCAGGTCATAATTGTCTCAAAGGGGCTTTTTCAAAAGGCAACTGGACTGTTTTTCCTTGATGATGATGAAGAAAACATGTTCCTTCTCATCCAAGAAGCTTCATCAGTTGTGATTGGATGATGGGGCGGGGGGTTTGGATCACTTGGGGGTTTATCTGTGTCCTCGGGGTCATCTGAATCAAGGCGCAATTGGTTGTGGAATCTTCTTGGAACTGCTGAAAGGGCTGCGTTGTAGACTGGAGATAAGACGGTGTTTTTTTCCTTCCCCTCTGTTGAGGGAGGGCTGTGTGCAGTGCACATTAAGGAAGTCAGAAGCCTTAACACTGAAGTTTACAGAAACACCACCCTCTCCCAGATCAGTACTTAATTTTTTGATTCTCACCACACTTTGGAGCACAAAATAAATGGGAGTGATCATAACCCTAAACTACCAGGCTGAAACTTTGCCTACCAGTAAAGAGGGAAAAGAAAAATAACTAAAATATGTCAGAACTTCTTGTTATCCTAACTGGGCCTTCATCAAATCCCCAAAAAGAACCCTTGGCTCTTCCATTATAGACAGAAAAAGGAACAACAGGCGTAGCGACGTTGTCATTCCATGCATCGCAGGAATATCTGAAAAGCTCAGGAGGATTTCAACCAACACATCATACATGTACACTTTATACCGAAGAATGCACTCATGCAGAAGCTTGTCCACTCCAAGGATAAAACACGTAACATAAACTGAGCAATGTGATATGCAATACAATGCAATGACACATGTGCAGATCTGTACACTGATAAAATGAAACAACCACTTCACAAGTGCACGGCAGGACAAGATTCAGCGATCCATCTGCAT